GGCAGTCTTCTTAGAACCCTTTCAAAGATTTTTATGATGTGGGATGTTAGTGCTGTCGGTTTGTAGTTCTTTGCAATTGCTTTACTGCCACCTTTGTTGATGGGGGCTATGTCTGTTGTTTTTAGAGACTGTGGGATGACTGTTGTGTCCATGCTCCCTTTCCGTAGAATGATGAAGGCAAGTGACGGGCTTCTTACTGCTCTAGATGAACACCAAGTTCCACGAGTCTGGGCCTGGGGCATAGTGCAGGGACACGTCATTAATTGCCTTTTCAAAGTCCTGTGGTGTTAGGATAATATCAGATTTTTGAAGCGACCAAATTTTGAGTCTCGGTCATAAAAAATTCATATAGATTGTCAACCCTGAATCTGGTTAACAGCTCATTGAACACAGAGTCATATTGGGACTTTAGTATCTCACTCATTTATTTGCTGTCATCTGTGTAGGTCCCATCTTGTCTAAGCAAGGGTTTAATACTGGATGTTTTTGCCTTAGATATGGCATAAGAGAAGAAGTGTTTCTGGTTTCTTTTAATTTCATTGATGGCTTTAAGTTCTTCCTGAGATTCTTGTCTTGTGTAAGATTCCTTAAGCTTAAGTTTGATATTTGCTATTTATCTGACCAGTGCCTCCCTTCGTATTTCAGATATACTGGCCCCTCTCAGCAGCTCTGTGATTCTTCGCCTTGGCCTACATAGGGAGTCTCTTTCTAGTTTACATCTTCTCTTTTTTTTTTACAAGTCAGCTGTCTCCCACTGAGGCAGGGTGACCCAAAAAGAAAGAAAATCCCCAAAAAGAAAATACTTTCATCATCATTCAACACTTTCACCTCACTCACACTTAATCACTGTTTTTTGCAGAGGTGCTCAGAACACAACAGTTTAGAAACATATATGTAAAAAGATACACAACATATCCCTCCAAACTGCTAATATCCCGAACCCCTCCTTTAGAGTGCAGACATTGTACTTCCCATTTCCAGGACTCAAGTTCGGCTATATAAAAATAACCGGTTTCCCTGAATCCCTTCACTAAATATTACCCTGCTCACACTCCAACAGATTGTCAGGTCCCAAATACCATTCTTCTCCATTCACTCCTATCGAACACGCTCATGCACGACTGCTAGAAGTCCAAGCCCCTTGCCCACAAAACCTCCCTTACCCCTTCCTTCCAACCTTTTCGAGGACAACCCCTACCCTGCCTTCCTTCCCCTACAGATTTATACGCTGTCCATGTCATTCTACTTTGATCC